CATGTTTATCTATCTTTTTCAGGTCACAGAGTCGGACCGGAGGTGTGAGCTGGCGGATGATTCGGGATTATGATTATACAGTTTGAATTGACATAGCAGCTCTGTTACTATCTCCCGTATTTTGATTTATATGATAGCAGTGCTGATACTATCTCCAGTGGTTTGAGTTACATGTTTTGCCACACTACGATTTCCGCTGACTTTTCATGTTTGACAAACTTAGCATTTTGATTCAATTACCAGTAGTTTGTTTTTTTTTCTTATTATGATAATCTGGTTTTCTTAAAAATTAAAATTACGGATTTTAAAGGAAAGTTATGTATTACGGTAGCAGTCCGAATCATGATTTCACAAACTAAAATGTTCTATTTAGAAAAGTTTGCGAAAAATGCACTCTGATATTTATGACATAGCAGGGTGTTACAGTTGGTATCAGAGCACATTTTTGTGTATCTGAATACTTCAGCGAGTCAAAAATTTTTACAAAACCCGACCACGTCACGCTCACGCTCCGCCGACTACAGGTAAGAGCTTATTTATGTTTTAAATTATAAACAAATTACTATGTCTATGCTCAGTACGATGTCAAATATCTGATCTTAGAACCAGTAAGGATGCTCGAATCAGAATTCAGAACTTTAGAAGGGGCTAAATTTAAGAACTCTGGATTAAATTCTAGATTTATTCCGGTAAAGTTCACGACTCGTCAAGAGATTTATAAGCACTTATGTTGTACAAATCTTAGCAATCATGTTCCTAAGACATTTTTCTATTGAAATTGCTCATTTTTGCCAAGCAGTTTGCATGTTCCAGGGAGAAATTCCTTGATTCAGCTCAGGGAATAGACTCAAATGTCTTAATAATGTCTAGTAGATTATGTTCAAGGCTAAATTTTCATGCTAAAGGTTGTTAAATTTCCTAAGTCATTGTCAAAAGTAACGGTTTCCAATGTAAAGAGCCAATATTCCAAGTTACCATGGAGGCTTGAAATAAGAGCCACTAAGTCGGGTATACCATGGAGGCTTGAAATTGGAACCATAACAATATAATTTCATTTAATAACAACCTTTAAAGTCAGTTATGTCATGTATTCTATCAGTTTGATATTCCAAGTTATGGTTTTCAAAGCTCAAGATCAGTTATTCCTTTTGTACTTGCGGGACCAATTGCCAGTGGAGTAGCCCTATACAGTACATAGTCATGAGTCAATGTTCATGATTTAAAGTCAATGTTCATGAGTTCAAGGTCGATGTATAATAGTTATTAATTCGGGTTAAATATGGAGGTCTGATATACAGATCATTAATCCAAATTTACATGAAAACTTGAAGTCGTACCTTATCAAGCCACAGTAAGTCAGTAAATGTCATGTTCCAAATTCTGAGATGATCATTTAATTATCTCAGGATAGCTTCCAGAGTTCAAGAAAGGGTTATATAGTCATGTAAAAGCCAAGTAAGGGTTATCCAGTTATGTGAATGTTGAGGCTAGTCATGTCAAAGTTGAGAATGGTCTGTCTAGTAAGAAAAGACTTATCAGTCATTTCAAGTATGTCAAGTGCCTCGATTCTCAAATTTTAAAAAATTTGAGAAATTGCAGGAAAGTTTAGTTTATGATAGACTTTTCTTGAGGTTAAGTTTGGCCTCAGGGAAGGTAAAAGGTTTGCAGGTACCGCGTGTCAATGTACGACACATCTTTCGTTCGTGACAGAGAAGATCAATCAACAGCAATAGAAAACACCATGGTGATGAACCAACGCTTTCCATTCAAGGACGAATGAAGAGAAGGATGCCATGCCTGAGTCACAGCACGCCAGGAGATCACGGAGAGTTAGCATTATAGTACATTGAGGTTACTAGCTTGAGATACATATATGACCAGTTATACAGACTACGTCAACGTCGCAGGTGCAATGTTCGCCAGGTGCTGCATTCAGGCGTGCCGCACTCACTAGATGAAGAGCGGGCGTGCCGCATTTTAATGTGCCGTGAACGATGTGTCGCGTTATCGAGTAGATGTTCATGAAGTGTAGTTACCGAGATTTCTAGTTGTCCTCAATTGTACATATACGTATCTCTGAAGTCTTCTTTGTGTACCAATGACTTGGGTTTCACAATCAACGTTCAGACCGAGGATCAGTAATCAGCCAGGAGGCGATGACCAGTGCGCTTAAGAGTTATGTCTTTAATTTAATCAATCAGACACTTTTCTTTAGAAAAGTGCCCATGTTCAACCAGTATTAATCAACAATTCACTCAACTGTGAAATGATGATTCTCTAGTTAAGATCAAGTCTATGGTTCAGTATTAAAAATACTGAATTCTTAAGTTATGTCATCAGTAAGTATAAGCTTCGAGTTAAGCTTGTACATTCAGTTTTAGCATTTCCGGGAACAGAAATATTTTTAAGGAGGGTGGATAGTAACGCTCCGAATTTTATTAATAAAGGAAAATACTAGCTTCTAAATATAAGCTAACCTTGGTCAATAAATATTCATGTTGATGTGGGATATTATATACACAAGGCTAAATCGGTCTACTTAGCCGGTCGAGGAGATCAAACCAGGAGGAAGCCAAGCCAAGGGGTGAGAGGATCGATCACTAAGATAGTCGACCAGGCAGGAAGTCGACTAACCCATTGCTCGACCTGATAAGAAATCGAGCAACCGACTCGACCTCATTAGGTCGATTGCTTCGAGGACCCAACAATCGGCCTAGTCACAGGCGTGTGTGAGAGCCTCTAACTGAATCTCACGAGAATATTTACCCCATGTGCAGGGGGGACACGTGGCGAGAACACATTGGTGGATAGCGATAACCACCTCTGACAGTTCCCAATGCCCCGTGCAACCTCTGACATGCGCGCGGTGTGTCAGAGTACAGACGGTCAACTTGGGCAGCCAGCTCATCTTATTCGGGCAGCTATTAGGGCAGGTATCTCACCCCTATATAAAGGGGGTGAGCCTTTTTCCCTGAACACATTCTATTCATTCCTCATTTCTAGCATACTCATACACACACACTGACTTAAGCATCGAAGGCTCTTCACCGGACACAACCCCCAGTGTGAGAGTTATTTGCAGGTTTCCGGCGTTCTACCAGCAAGGACAAAGCTCGATCCGTTCCGAACCGGCCCAGGACGCTCACGCTATTGGCGCCATCTGTGGGGATCCTTTGTACGAAAAGGTTGTGTTCGAAGCTCAGCTATGGCGGACGGGATTCCCAGAACCAACTTACAGTCGCCGTTCGATGACGCTTGGACGAAAACCAGGCCGATTGGGCAAGGCCCTCCTCCGGGTTTCTCTGGCCCTTCGCAGACGTCGGTCACTCCTACACTTGTTCTTCAAGGTGTGGGGGCGTCGACGGCGATCCCTAGAGGAGACGCTGGCTCTAGCCGTGCTCAAGACGCTCATGCAGCAGCTGTGGTGGTGATGCCACCGCCGCCACCCTCGAATCCAGCAGTAGCGTAAGGAGGAGCGGTGGCGCAGGGAGGAGCGCCACCCCAGACAGTTGTACAAGCTCTCGGTCAGCAAATGGTGACGATGACCCGAGAGGAGATGCAGAGGATGGTGGCGGCCGCGGCAGCGAAGGAGGTGCAGCAGGTCACGAGCCACACGTCTCACGCCACTACTGCGTCGGCCACGGTGATAGGAAGCCAAGACGAGGATGTGTCCAGTTATGGAGATGGAGGAGTTGGGAGAGATCGAGTAATGGAAAGGATGGCGGAGCAGTTGCGCCTATTACAGGACAAGGTGGAGGGTAGACCAGAGAGGAGCGCTTGAGGACATCCATTTTCAAGGGAGATTCTCGCTGCTCCTTTGCCGAATAATTTCAAGGAGACCAACTTGGTGTATGACGGGACTTCTGACCCGTCGAGGAATGTGAGGACCTTTGAAAATATGGCTGTGTTGCATGGATATTCTGATTCTGTTTGTTGCAGGGCCTTTCTATCGACCTTGCGCGGGGAAGCACTCGACTGGTTCCACCAGTTACCCTCGGGGTCGATTGCGGATTTTGAGGACTTTGCTAGCAAGCTTACTAATCAATATTCGAGCGCAGTGGCACAAGAGAAAACATATTTGACTTTGATGGCAATGATGCAGGGGAAGAAGGAGTCATTAAGGAAGTATGTTTCTCGATATAACCAGACGTGATTGGAGGTGCACTCGGCTTCGGATGAGGTGAAGGCAGGAGGTTTGATAAGGTGTCTTCGAGCAGGGCCTTGCTGAACCTCCTTGGCTAAGACCCCTGCTCGATCATATGAGAAGGTTTTGAAACGTTGCAGGAAGTACATTAATTTGGAGGAGATGGAAGTAGAATTTGCAAAATTAGAAGGGGTGGCTCGACTAGAACCGAAGAAAAAAAAGAGCCCACAAAGGGGGAGATTGCCCAGGAGAAGTTTGCCCAAGAGGAGTGGGTCGAAAAGGGGATCTCCCAGGAAGGAGGGTCGAGATTTGAATTAGGAGAGGAGGGGTGAGTGGCAGAAGAAGCCATTGATGTTCGAGAGGCAGAGATACCATAATTTCACACCCTTGAGAAAAGATTTGATGGAGGTGCTCGAGGCCATGGAGGAAGATGTTGAGTGAGGACGTGACATGGCCGAAGATGAGGTTTACAGGCTCGATTCGGCCTATGTCTTATATTTACTGCCGCTTTCATCGAGATTATGGGCATACCACGGAGAACTATAGACATTTGAAGAATGAGATCGAGAGGTTGATCCGGGCAAGGCACCTAAAACAGTTTGTATATCCGGATAGAGCAAAAGGGAAAGAAAGGAGAAGGTGTCGGGAGGATTCGGAGGAGAGGAGTGACAGGGACGAGGGAGGAGGCGACGGAGATGGTCGAGAAAAGAAGCCAAGGAGAGATGGCGATAAGGAGGATATGGAGGAGAAGCCCCAATGAAGAGAGGGATGATTTACATGATTTCCGGAGGGCCAATGGAAGGTGATTCGAATAGGGCCAGGAAGGAACATGCTAGAGCTGTGAAACGAAAGAAAGAGGAGGTGGGAATTACGGCTCGCATGCCGGTGATAAGTTTCAGAACAGAGGACGCTGAGGGGTTGGTCCTGCTTCACAATGATGCTTTGGTGATAACAGCGGAGGTTGCGGGCTTTGATGTGAAGAGGGTGTTCATTGATACCGGGTGTTCGGTGAATGTGATGTTCTATGACTGTTTCGTGCAGATCAATAAGGAGTTGAATATAGAGTTGAAACCGGTTACCACAGCGCTCTGTGGCTTTAATGGAGGAGAGGTGATACCGATGGGTGAGGTAAGTTTGCCGGTGGCGTTAGGAGCGGGAGAGCTGAGGAAGGTGCTGATGGTGAGATTTGTGGTCGTGGGAGCTGAATCATCTTATAACATCATTATGGGGCGGACGAGCTTGAATGCATTCCAGGCGGTCTTATCCACGTACCACATGATGATCAAATATCCTATGGGTGAAAACGTTGGGGAGATTGCTGGGGATCAACTCACTTCAAGGAGCTGCTACCAAACAACGGTGAACAATAACAGACAATTGGCGAAGAGGCAAGCCAAGTCAAAGGAGGAAGAGATTAATCGACCAGGCGGGTCGAGGACAAAAGAGGATAGGCAGAAGGCGGAGAAAGGTAAGGAGAAAGTGGATATGTAACGCCCCGAAATTTATTAATAAAGGAAAATACTAGCTTTTAGTTTTAAGCTAGCCTTTATTAATAAATAATCATGTTCATGTTCAAGTTAAGGTTAATCAGTCAGTTATATTCTATGTTCGACTATTAGTCGATAAGTTATTCGGTTTAATTAATTCAGTAAATCGGATAAGTTGTCAGATTTAATTTCGATTCGTTTAATTAATTTATGAGTCCAGAATTAATTTTTCAGTCAGCAATATTCAGTAATCAAGTTTTAGTTCCGATAAATTAATATTGTCGAGTATTAATTTTCGGAATTAATTATTTTCAGTCGAGATTACCGAAAATTATTTTCGACATTCCGTTTACGTTCGGAAAAATTTTGGTAATAAAGCGTTATGTTTAATTAAATAATTAAACATGATTAAGTGATTGATTATTAATTAATCAGAAGATTAGGGCTTAAACCGTATGGAAATATTCCAAATTCATGTAAATGCCGTACGAAAAATCTTTCCCCAACAATTAAGCTTAAATGCCCTGTGGAGTCTTAAGCATAAGGAAAATATTTTTCCTTCTAGTTCAAGCATGTACACGTGTCTTTAGTTGGGGCTTAAGGGGATGCTTAGTCATCATAAGCCATCTAAGGGACTAGCAAGTGTCAAGTTTAGAAAAATCCACATCTTCACTTCATCACCATTTTCTTCCCACGGTTTGGTATAAATTGGGGTGTTGGATCCGAAAATTTTCCCCACTCCTTCAACCTATATAGCAGCATATATATATTAGCTTCCCACACTGTAAAGAAGTTAGCATTATTTGGAAGAACTAGCACCACACGACGGGATCATAGCAAAGTACACACACGGGCACGCACACGCGAAGTCGCGATCGGCTTAGGGAATTCCGACTAGCACTTGAGGAGGTAAAAGCACCCTCAATCACTTTTCATGTCAATAAGTTCATTTAAGGATGTAGTGTTCAATTCATGTTCCAAGAGTTCACAGTTATGCCATGTTAAGGTTCGGTTATGCCTAGTTAAGTCATGATCGAGTAACTTCTTATTTTGTCCGGCAACTCATGAACAATTCACATTTATTTGATCAGTTAAAATCATTTTTACTCAGTTATGTCATGTTGGTCGGAGAAAAATATCGTTTATCTCTGAATTGGCTCAAAGTCGTCACCAGCGCACGTCGTGCTTGGCCACGGACTGTCCCAAGTCATGTTATGTTATCTCTTGTTATAGTCCAGTTTGTCCGTACAATTTATGTCTTAATAGCTTTAAGTGATGTTCATGTTCAATTGATCTTGAGTTGCCGAGGGATAAGTCAAGTCGGTCGAAAGACGGCCTAACGCCGTCGGCGGC